AGAGGAACACGCCATAATGCCTTATGGCAAATGGACATTACCATTGTTCCTGAATTTGGAACTCTTAAACATGTTCATGTTTCTATAGATACATATTCCTCTGCTTCTTGGGACTGCTTTAACAGAAGAACGATCTCATCATGTCATTACTCATCTCTTACAAGCATTTGCAGTATTGGGTGTTCCTGCTACCATAAAAACCGACAGTGCTCCAGTTTACCTCTCCTCTGCGCTACAGAAATTTTTTCAGTTATACAATATCACTCATAAAACAGGCATTCCTTACAATTCTACAGGTCAAGCTCTAATTAACGTCATCATCTTACTCTTAAACATTATTTATTAAAACAAAAAGGGGGACTGCTCCCTGACATGATCAAATTAACTGCAAATCAATGATTAATGCATACTTGACATATTCTTAATTTTGATCTTTTACAAGGTGACGGACGATCAGCTATGGAAGTACATTTTTCTGACACTATTTCTTTTTCTAAAACAACAGCAGTTCCTGTATGGTGGTCTCCAATAGGTTCTTCACAGTGGTATAAAGGTCATATTAAAGTATGGGGCAAAGGGTTTGTTTGCGTTGTTGCAGAGGATCAACATGTGATCTGGCTACCCAGGAAGATAATTAAGATATGATATGAAGAACTCCCAACATCAACACCTTCAGAGAAGTCTACTCTGAGAGATGATCATGAACAGACCTCATCAACAGTTTGCACGCAGCCCACGAAGAGCTGAAGCTCAGCAGATAATGAGATTTTTATTTTTATTCCTGACAATAACATTTATACATACACACACTGCACAAGCTTGCTCTATCACAGCTAGTGTAAGCAATCCTCCATATCTAGGTCGAGGAGTGGGCCTTCATTGTGTATCCACCTGCTCTACTCCAGCAGGTCCAGTAGTATGGAAAAAGAAGGGTGAGGAAATACATAGGCAAACAAGTGGAAGAAGATTTTGGTGCCATAATGCTGCAGATCAAACTCGTAGAGAGAATAATCGATATGATATTTATAAAACAGTTTTGACTTGAGAAGATATTAGAATTTATACCTGTGAAAAATTCCAAAAAGGATCTCCTGACATATCATATAAGATTAGTCATGTGTATTTAAATATATCACTTGTTCCAGAACGTAAGTTCTCCTCACCTAACCTATGGCTGCAACTAGCAGGCCAAAGATTGAATAAGTTATCCTTTTGTATAGCAGGAGATTCTTCCATTAGTGGATTGTTAACAAAGAATTTAATAGGAATAGGACTTCCTCCCATAGTGTTTACTAATATATCAGGTATAAATATTACGACATTCTTGTGTGTGATATTCAATTAAATTTACCTGTTAGGACTACCATAATCACTGACTGTATATGTATTAATTGTACTCAGATACCTTCTTATTGTAACTCTACTATTCGTGTAAAATGGCCATATGGATATAGACTCCCAAATGGCTGGGTGTTTTTATGTGATAACAAAACATATCAAGCCTTTTCTTCACAATACCAAGGTGTTTGTGGTATGGGACGTATTCTTCCTGCTCTCATAGATCATCCTGGAAATACACATAGAAGGTTTCCTCAAGCTTTGCCATCTAGCTGTGATGACAATGTGAAGCTGTTGAATCCCACTGCTGTTGCGGTTGCTGCTGCATTTCTTTTGCCAGTTCCTGGACTTGCTGCAGGGATGCAAAACGAAATATCTAAACTAGCTTGTGCATACAGTAGAACTACATATGTGACTGCTTCTATATTATCTGAACTGAACCAAGAACTGGGAGAAGTAAGAACTGCAGTACTTCAAAATCGTGCTACCATAGATTATCTTTTGTTAAAAGAACATATGGGATGTGAACAATTTCCAGGGATGTGTTGTTTCAATTTGTCTGATTTTTCTCAAACAGTTCAAAATCAGTTGTATGACATTCATCATGTTATTGATAAGGTTTCACAAATGCCTAGATTATCACACTGGTTTTCTTGGTTTCATTGGATATGGCCAATACTTATAGGTTTACTTCTATTATGCATTTGTCTTCCTGTTCTTATAATGGGGGCACGTCATTTCATTACCAGTCTATTGAAGCCTATTCATGCTTATGCTATTTTGTAAGAAATAATGCCTGAAGAATGATTGTTCATGAGAGTCTGTGCAATGAATTTTTGTACTTTATATGATTTTTATGATTGTAGCTGGACACAGGAATATGAGAAGAGTGTCAATCTATTTCAAATGCCTCTTTTACCCATATACTCTATCCCCGTATGGCCCCGGAGGATGGCTAGTTAGCCAGAGATGGGTAAGATTCCTCATGGGAGGAGCAACCTAAGACAGGCACAGTCGCAGGGGGCGAAAAGGTGAAGGCAAGGGGCCAACTGAGGCAAGGCTTGGAACCTTGTCCCCCCATTTATGTGGGGCATTCTCTACTGCTTTCGCCTAGTTAAATTGATACCAAGATCTAAAAACGGATTTCTCGCTTATATTGCACCTACTGTTTTGGTGCTCTTTAATAAAAAAATTAGGGAGAAATGTGGGATTAATGGGCTTAATATATAAATCAAGTAATATAGAAACCAAATGTATGAAGATTTGTGACTTGACTGTCTCTCCTATGACCTCTGATGTTTGGTCAAGGACAGAGTATTTAAAGTCATAAAAGGTTCCTACAGCTCGTGACTGCCCTCACATGGTTTTGGCATCCTTAAGAAGTGTCCTGCCCTTGGGTGGGATGCAAAGATAGATGACCATGTGCTGAACCGCCTACTCTGAATTCTTCAGATGTTCATTTACTCAATAAATATGAGGAGTGCCTTCTTGGCATTACTCTTGAGCTGTTATGCCTGAGTCCCCTGGCTGGTCCATTCAGGTCTTTGATATCTCATCGCGTCACCTCCTTAATCTGCAGGTCAGAGACAGGGAGGAGGCTGACAAATAGTGGTTCTCAACTGAGGGTGATTTGCTCCTCCTGGAGACATATGCCATGTTCAGATACACTTTGGGAAGAAGACACTACTGTACCTGGCTGATGGAGGCCAGGGGTGCTGCTAAACAACCCATGGTGGGTGCACAGGTCAGCCCCCACCACACAGAATGACTGGCCCCAAGTGTCAAAATTACAGAGATTGAGAAACACTGATATAGAGAAAGCAACTGATGGGGTACACAGGATAAAATGTCAATAGGTGCATCTTGATGAGGGGTACATGGGGTGTTATTTCAATTATTTTTAATCTTGTAATGTTTGGAAATTATTTCCAAAGAAAAAGTTTTTAAAAACTCTTTTAAAAGTACCATGTTGTGATGATTACTTTATCATACATTAAACCATTGCAGAGAAAAGTAGATCTATTTGGGGGCTCTCTATTTCAGCATATAGACTTTTTTCCTCCAGTGGCAAATTCTTTTCATTTCCATTCGTGTATGATTCTAGCAACTAAATCCCATTATCAAGAATAGAACTACTTTAAAAAAACAGAATGAAAATACATATATGCACATTTTTATATCTTTACTTTTTCCAATTTGTTTTAGTTTTCCTCCCACCCTGAGTTGAAGGCAGCCTTTTTACCCATAATACAATCTCACATACTTCTTAGGGTAACACATCCTGAAGAGTTGGAGCAGTGAACATTTTTGATCAGGTGACTGAATTATCAAAGTCCATGAGAATAGGTCTTTGGAAATTAACTAGGCAAGGCATATCAATATATGCACACTAAATGTGCAAAGTGCAAAGATCACAGGGCCAGATTGTTTATTTGTCATATCATTTTTCAGTGGAATGAGTCAGAGAATAAGGCTGGGCTGGAAAGCTAGAGTAGTGATTCCCCAACAATGAGTATCACTCAATGTGATCCAAGCTTTTCAGAAACATCTAACATGCAAAGTGACATCAAGCCACATGTGATATTAGTCTTATGTTTGGATAGGAATAATATGCTACAAACACATTTTCAAAGGTTCACCTGTGGAAGACATATTTGTACTTTTTAGGCCACAGAATCTAAAACCATAGGTGACCTTAAAGCACAAAATTAAACACATCCATCCTAGACACAGGTCTCTCCAGGATTTGGGTGTCTGTCTGAAATACAGCAGAATATCAATGTATAAATGAATTAGAAACTTGGATTTTATTTCTCTTCTATCTTATTTCCATTTATTAATGATTTCTTCAAAGGTAAAATAGAATATAAACATGTTCATGGGAGTATGTGTGTTGAGCTACTGAATAAATGGCTCATAAAATCACTTTTGCAGCTAATCCAAGTATCACAAAAAGACTCCATTTGGCTGACAAATGTGGCTGACAGCCTTTACACTCCTCCCTTTTTCCCTTTGCCCCACATCTGGGCAACCTGATAAGGGCACCTCAGGCCCTGGTGTCCTTAGTCCCTTGATGCTGGCAGAAATTTCAAACCATGCCAGCCTCAGCCAGAACATGGGAACCTCCATCTGGCTACTTCCTGACTACAGTAAAAACCTGAGGCACTGCCTCTCTATTGTTTTATGCCAGACCAAACTGAAGCCTTTCCACCAGGGGGATCCACTTACTGTTGACTGTTGAGTCATAAATCCTATTTCATATCTGTTGGTGCCCACGTGTCATTCCTTCCAACCTCCATAATTTCCCAGAGTGTTGTGGGAGACTATGCTGTGTCCAGCCGGTGATGCTAGTAAAACACCGACTGCCTAGTTCTGCTTAATGATCCCTCAGAATCACTTGCCAAGGCTCCAGGAAGTCTTCCAGGACAAAGACCAGGCAAGTGATGGCTTTACATTCATGATATCTACGAATAAGTTAGGATTTGAAATACACTAAAGTTTATGAGAAAGGTTAATAATTCACACAACTAAATTTGAAGGGATAAAATTAAAGCATAAGAATATTGCCTTTATTATTTGAATAAAAACATTTTAAATGAAAAGTTTTTTTTTAATATATCTAAACTTTGCATTAAAAACCAAAACAGAATCCCAACTCTCACCCAAATGGCACTCCGAGGGCGCCCAGTGGAGTCACCAGGACTGTGGGGACCGCCGTGTAAGCCAGGAAGTTCCCAATCTGGCCAACAGCCACTGTCAAGAGAATCACAAGGCTATCACTTGCAGTTATGCAGCTCTCTTTTAGCAGTCATCAGAGTTGAATTTGAAAGGGCTACTGAAAGGGCTACTTCTTTTCCATTACTTGTGAGGGAGCAAATGTAGGGCATCATTTGCATATTTAAGGGTCCTGATGGCAGAGGAGCAGGCCCCACATGTTGCTGGCCCTAAATGTCAGGGAGTAGTTTCAGCCCTCTGCGGGAATTCCCAAGCTTACAGCAGCAATTGCTAGTGGGCGCAATGCAGTGTATTTCCACCGTCTCCTTAACACATCCTTGTTTTAAGATGAATCATGCTATTTCCCATGTCACCTGGGACCTACCCTAGTGCAGACCGTTGGGCCCCAGTGATACACCTGCTGGAACATCAAGTAGAAGCAGTATTCCCTGCAGGAGATTGCACCAGAGGGCTGCTCGAAATGGAGTTTAGAGATAAGCTCTTCAGTGAAAGAAAATCACATCTGCCTAACGGAACAGGTGCTACAAAAAAAACCCATAATATGTCTGAAGTTTCTAATACAACTTTTCCTTATAAGTTCTAAACTCTAATTTTTAGTTTGTTTTTAAATGGCTTCTGCGCAAGACCTCTTTTGTATCACAGCACATAGTCTGGTGTGTAAGGCTGAGGGAAGAAACTCTCTTTTGTAAAATGAATTCTGTTCAGCCAAAAAAGAAATTTCACCAAATGCCAGCAGCCTGACTACAGATGAGTAAGCAGGAGCCAGTTAATTTCTTTACACCCAGTCCCTGACCTGGACTAAATTCAGTGCTAACCACAGGCTGCAGGGGCCTCTGCCCCCTCCCTCCCCAACCTCCCACCCTCCTAGTGCTCCTTGCAAAGAACACAGTAGAACTAATCTCACCCTTTCCAGACCTACCAGAGAAATAACTGATCTTAAGAATGAGAGAGGCCCAAGCCCTCCACGGAGCAAGGTACTACTTACTTGCGATTGTGCCTGCCCACCACACGATGTCTGTTAAATAGGAGGTGCCTACAAAAGAGTGAGACGAAAACGTCAGGAAAGTATGAAGCAAGAGGTTTACAAGCTTTTTACCAAGAAAAATGGATTTTTACGTGAAAACTGAAATTGAAATGAATGAATGTCCCTATTCACCCAATAAAAAAAAAAGTTTTAGTCTATAAATAGCAACATAAGTGTGGGGAAAATGGAACTTTCTGACCAGGATTCCCACCTGGCATTAACAATGCCCACTGTGTGTATAACAAGAGCATGTTTGCAGTCACGGGATTGCTGGTCCAGGGTATGGGTGGAGAGGACACCCACTGCCCCTCTCCACCCCTCCATTCCTGGTACGTAATTGGTCAGGCATCTGCCAGTCACCAGGGACCCACAGGGTTCCTCCCAGTGCAGGAGGTGAGGGGCTGTGAGAGTGGCCGGAGAGAGGGCTCTGGAGCTGTGCAGACAGGGTCCGGAATGGCGTGAGTGCAGAGAGACTGAGGCCTATGACGCGCAGGACTAAGCCGGTGCTGGATGCAGAACCTGTAGCCGGCCTGGGGAGCACATTCGAGCCAACCGTGTGTACCGAGCAGCCTGTGACCGCAGTGGGAATAAATGTGATAACCCCTTTCCCTCCCAACTTTCTGCCCGGCCTTCCTTTGCAATCATCAAATTCATAGAGAACTTGCCCCAGGCAGGAACCCCCTCCTCCTGGAACTGCGCGAGAAACCAGCAACAGTGGCAAAACAAAGACATTTTTCAACCAATACAAGCTGACCCAGGCAAGAAATGGAAGCTTCACAATTTTTTTTTTTTGGCTCAACAGGCCATCACCCAGAGACACAAATATTCCTTGGGATGAGGTTTTATGTTGATTTCAAATGAGATTTGTCCCCCAAAGTCTAGTTCTCTTGTGCATGCACTACAACTCATTGATGTGATAATTTTACTAGTACAAGGTTTAGTGATGTGCTGCTAAACAGGTTACTCAACTTTTAAACACTTCTTATACAGCATTTTCCAACCATGTGGGAAGCAGACACACTCACTTGATGTTTTGATATCTCACACAGTCCTTGTTTTCTCTTGGTTACCCACCACGCCCAACGCACGGGTAGGTACAGTGAGCAGATGCCCAGGCCTCCCGACACAGCAGATCCTTCTGCCAGCCTTCGAGACACACATTTGTCCTATTTCAGGTCTATCAAAGTACAACAGTGGCTTTCTACCTCAGATTAAAGTACCTAATTCTAATTGGATGTTTTAATTCTCAGCAATTCGGTATAATGAACACAGATAGCTGGCTTGATGGAGGAGCAGACCTATACAATAAGCACTTAAGAAAAATTAAATGACAAGGTAGGAGGAATGGTCAATTTAGTATATCACCATTTGGCAACATTACAATAAAACCTTATTTAGGCAAGAATCATCAATGGAGATTGATCAGATGAAAGTTTGCTAAAGAACAGTATTGTCCCATAAGTTTCCATGGATCACCTCCACTGCTTTTTGACCAATCATAAAGGGCAAAGCTATCTTCACAGTATTCCACAAACCCTGACAGACACCACCTTACCATGTGCTCACAGTGAGTGTCCGCCCTTGGACAGAAGCACCTGAGGACACAGCGTCATACCTGAGGTGCTCCTGCCAACGTGCATCACGTGCATCTAACCAGGAGGACACTGGGAGACAGCCTATGAACAAGCTGCCTGTGCTCTTCAAAACTGGCAAGGTCATGAATACAAAGAAAAGCTAAGTAACTATTACAGATGAAAGGAAACTAAAGGGCATGGTGACTACATGCAGCACATGATGCAAATGGAAAAAAGGCTGTTACAAAGGGCAGGACTGATGCAACTGAAAAATCCTGAATATAGACTATTGTAGAAAAACATTAACAAAACTATTTTCTTCCTAAATGAGAATGTGACTTATGGTTCACTTTCTGGCTAGGAGAAGCCCACAGTCATGTGGCCAGAGGATAGCACTTAGGCAGAAATGACACCTATGTACACACGGACCTGCCTGGAGGTCTGTGAACACCCGGGGAAGGAGGCTGACAACTGGGCTCCCCTCAGTGCAGTGCCTCTGGGAATAGGCATGTCCCTTGTGGGGTCCGGTAGCCCTGCCTCTGTGACCTTACACCGGGGAGCATGAGGCTTGTAAGGCTGGGCAGCTGTGGCCTCATCGGCTGCAGCTCTGTCTCTGCTGCCAGGCTCCAGCACACAAAAACCCATGCTGGATATTTAAGAAAGAAAGGTAATGAAGTCCACTTCCAGAATGCTGGTCTGAGGAATACCATGGACCAGCTCCCCAGTGAAACAACCATGACTGGGGAACAGAGTATTTAAAAATGTTTCTGAAGTCTCTGGAAATTATCCTAAAAGCACACAGCAAATAAAGAAATATCTACTCAAGAAAACCTCCTAAATTTCAGTAAGAACAGTGAGTCTTTAGCACATGAGTTAAGACCCCCTCCTTCTCTCCCCAACTGCAGTTCAGCTTAACAGAAGGTCCTCTTCCAGGCGCTGTTACCAAGAAGATGGGGTTTGCTCTCCCCTGAGCTCTCAATCATGAGGAAGAACAAGTCTCCAGCATTTCTTATTCCCCCCACATTGAAGAGGCTAAATTCTGGTTAGGCTATTCAAAAGTTGGGGACTCCATTCCTCCACCCACCCCCTACCCAGAAACTCTACCCCAAGCACTATAGGCCCCAATCGTCTTGTCCCAAGCTTGACGGTAGGGTACAGGTCACATGCTGGGAGAGGCAAGCACAGATCAGAGGACACCAACGCTTAACAAATACACCCTATGATTTTAACTGGGCAAGACTGTGAAGCAGTTTATGCATCCCTGCATTTGTCTAAAACAACAGAGCAACCAAACAGAAATAAGTACAGCCTAACAGCTGGGTGTGATATCCAATGAGGCAGACAACCGAGCAATCAGGGAAAGACAAGGTAAAGATAGCCCAGCTAAAACCACTGTTAACACGGGTAAAGGTGCACATACCCAAGGCTGCTTCTCTGAGGACTGTTATCACAGGCTTCATACCACAGGGGAAATAGACCTTACCAAAATGCTCCAGCCAAAAACCTAAACAAATAAACAATCAAACAGCAATCCACAGCAAAGGGGTAGGCAGTCAGTACCCAGAGTTGCTACCATACATAACCTAAAATGTCCAGATATCAATATAAAATGAGATAACAACAAAAACCAACTCAAAAATGGGCAAAAGCCTTAAATAGACATTGCTCCAAACAAGATATGTAATTGGCCAATAATCACATGGAAAGATACTCAACATCACTGACCGTTAGGGAAATGCAAATCAAAATCATAATGAGATATCCCTTCAAAACCAATAAGATGGATACTATTTTAAAAAACAACAGAAAACAAGTGTTGGTAAGGATGTGGACAAATTGGAGCCCCTGTGCATTGCCAATAAAAATGAAAAATGGTATAGCCCAGTAGGAAACAGAATGGCAGTTTCTCAAAAAGTTAAATACAGGATTACCACATGATCCAGCAATTCCATTCCAAAACCCAAAAGAACTGACAGCAAAAATTTAAATATATATTTGCACACCTACATTCACAACACCATTATTCATGATAGCCAAAAGCTGGAAACAACCCAATTGTCTATTAACAGATGAATGGATTTATTTTAAAAAAGGTAAAATACCATACACTTGTTCCTTTTTGTTACACATGAAACAGCAGTAAACAGTACAAGCAGTACTTTTATTCAGCCTTAAAAAGGATTTTTCTTTAATTTAAATATAGTTGATATATAATATTATATTGGTTTCAGGGTATACAACATAGTGACTCGACAATTATATACACCACTAAAAATTCAACAGAGTAATGTAGTTAACATCTGTCATCCTTCAAAGACATTACAATATTGTTGATTATATTCCCCATGTTGTACTTTCATCCCTGTAACCAATTATTTTATAATTGGGAGTTAATAGCACTTAATCTTCTTCACCTATTTCACCCATCCCCCTAATCCCTTCCCAATGGCAACCACCAAATGGCTCTCTGTGTTTATGAATCCATTTCTGCTTTGTTTTTATGTCTGTTTGTTTATTTAGAGTCCACATATAAGAGAAATCATATGGTATTTGTCTTTCTCTGCCTGGCTTAATTCACTTAGCATAATATCCTTTAGTTCCACAAATGTTGTAAATGGCAAGATTTCATTCATTTTTATGGCTGAGGAAGACTCCTACATATATATATATA